TAAAGGGGTTTCCCAAACCAGAGAGCCAGGAAAACCGCAACAAAAAACCAGAGGAGATCAAAATGAGCAGCGCAGCTCAGTCAGACAAGGATGCAGAACTGGAAGCGACACTGAGGAAGTTCCCTCCTCCAAATTACTACCTCCATGCCTTCTACTACACGTGGTATGGAAACCCAAAGATTGATGGAAAATACATACACTGGGACCATCCACAGCTGCCACACTGGGACGTTAAGGTAGCTCAGGGATATCCACAAGGGAGACACAGCCCACCTGATGACATTGGAGCCAACTTTTACCCTGCTTTAGGGGTTTACAGTTCTAGAGACCCCTCTGTTATAGAGGCTCATATGCAGCAGCTACGTACAGCAGCCATCGGTAAGACATCAAGTCACTTTTAATTATATACCACATTTAAAACAACAGGAGCTGAGCCAGAGTGCTTTCCAGGCAGGCAATGCAATGATGGCAAAATATGAATAAAAAGAAGTCATAAATAAAGTATAACAATAGAAATAACACTAGAAATAAAAGACCAGTAAGAAAAATTGAAACGCATACTTGACTAAAAGCTAGTGAAAATATATACAGTGCTGTATAAAAAATATTGCTCCCTTCCTGATGTCTTAATTTTTTTCACACTGTACACATTTCTTAGAAAACATCTTGATCCCCAAAACCTTCAGGAAAATATTTTTGGAAGGTTTGAGTCCAGTTACATCTGGCATGAAACTAACACATTATTTTATTTTAAAAAAATCATGCCAACAGTCAAACACGGCGGTGGTAGTGTGGTGGTCTCGGGCGGCTGGATGACTTGCTGTAATTGTCGAAACCATGAACTCTGCTCTCTACTAGAAAATCCTAAAGCAAAATGCCCGGCCATCCTTTTTTTCCCTGAGGCTCAAAGAACCTTGGGTTTTGCAGCTGGAAAATAATCTTAAACACATCAGCAAGTCCACCTCTGAATGAAACAAAAACAAAATGAAGGTTTTGAAGTGGTCTAGTCAAATCCTTAAACAGGCCGTCCATGCGGGAAAACCCTCTAATGTGTCTGAATTTTTTTTTAAAAATGCAAAGAAGAGTGGGCCAAATTCCTCCACAGGGATGTGAAAGACTCATTCCTAGTTATTGCAAAAGCTTGATTGCAGTTATTGCTGCCAAGGTTGGCACAACCAGTTATTAGAATTAGGAGATAATAACATTTTTCACACAGGGCCAGTTAGGTTTGGATAGCTTTTTTTATTATTATTTCACCCTTTTAATAAATGAAATCATTTTTTAAAAAACTGATTTTTGCATTTATCCTGGTGTGGAAATGTATTTGAAGTCTGAAGCATATAAGGGAGCCAATACTTTTTCACCACACTGTATGTCTTTAGAAGTGGTTTATTGTCAGTTAGACATGTGCTTATGTGGGTTCACGGAAAATTCCAGCTGTTGTTGCCCTGGTGGCAGTAACAGCTGGAAAAGCCTGTTCGCCTTTGGCTTTTAGGCGAAAAGGTGGCGCTGAGATAAGCTGATGGAGGATGACCTCAGACACCAGGAGGCCAAATAAATCAATGCAGTTAAGCTTAAACAGGAATGACATGTTGCCTATTCTTTGGATCATTCTGAATCTATGTAGTGAGCTGCAGACATTTATAGGTTAGTGTTTAGTTTTTCACACAAAATAAACATATTGTCCCCAACTATCAAACAAAAACTCTTCTAATTGAATTGTGTCGGCAGCTATGATAATAGTGACACACTGATACAAGGAAAGCCTAATAATATTGCTCCAGGCACACATTTAATGCAGATTTATTACACATTTACATTAAATGAATCCAGTTATCTTTATGAATGTCCATCTGGGTGTTTTTCTTTTAGATTTCATATTGATACTGTAACTGTTTATTTTAAGGTGTCATTGCTGTTTCCTGGTATCCTCCCAATATGAAGGATGACAACGGGGACTCAACAGACGACATTGTGCCTTTGCTGTTTGAGGTGGCTCATAAATACCACATTAAGGTGTGTGTGTAGAGATTGCAGCAGTTGCTTGAATGAAACGTCATTATATTCCTAATGAAAGGATTTGTGATTGTGATCCCCGGTGTGTGTGTGTGTGTGTGTGTGTGTGTGTGTGTGTGTTTGTGTGTGTTATAGGTAGCTTTTCACATTGAGCCATACAAAGGAAGGGATGAAGTCAACATGTTTACTAATGTTAAATACATCATTGAGAAGTGAGTAGTGATTTCGTCCACAGAGTCATTCAGATGTCATCATTAATGTTATCTGCATATTTAGATTCATCTTTCTATTCCTTTGACATCTGGTTGTTTTTCCCATCCCATCCTCCACAGATACGGAGAGCACCCGGCTTTTTTCAAGTACTTGACAAACACTGGCAAACTTCTTCCGCTCTTCTATGTGTATGACTCATATCTGTTGAACTCGGAGCAGTGGGCCAAGCTGCTAAAGCACACGGAGACCAACAGCATCAGGGATACCCCGTATGACGCCATCTTCATCGCGCTGCTGGTGGAGGAGAAAGACAAGAGAGATATCCTGACAGCAGGGTTCGACGGCGTTTACACCTACTTTGCCACTAATGGTTTTTCCTACGGTTCCACGCAGCGTAACTGGGCCTCTATAAAAGCTTTCTGTGAAGATAACAACCTGATGTTCATTCCAAGTGTAGGCCCGGGATATATCGACACGAGCATTCGACCCTGGAATTTCCAAAACACTCGAAACCGCATCAATGGCAAATACTACGAAACCTCGCTGAGTGCAGCACTGGAAGCCAGGCCTGATTTTATCTCTATCACATCCTTTAACGAGTGGCACGAGGGGACTCAGATTGAAATGGCAATTCCAAAAACAAGCCAGACGGTGTATCTGGACTATCTGCCCAACAAACCATCAATCTACCTGGAAATAACTCGCAAATGGGCGGCGATATTTGGTGGTGAGAGACGAAAGTGGCAGGAATGAAAATGACTAAAAGCCATAGCAGATGTTTATTCATGGGGGTATAAACAAAATGAAAGCTAAATGGAGTTCTGCTTGCTGAACGCAGAGCAAAATGCAAATGAAGACCAACTTTATGAGAAAAGCCAAATGATTTGCAAAGCCGTAGGCAAGTGAACCACTTAATTATCCTAATTTTGGCTGCGCTGATGTATGTCGTTTTGTTGCACTTGAACGAATTATTGTGAATTTAACTGATGTCTTATTAACGCTTGTTTGCACACCCTTGTGCATTTTTGCTATTCCTGGATTTTCACCAGCCGAAACAGCATAGGCATGTTTTGCAGTTCTGTGATCTGTGACTATATTAGACCCGAATAGAAATAAAGTGCACTCTGGAACGAGGCAGAGACACGAGTAAACAAAGCAGTCTGGTGGAATAAAGCTGTTGCCTCATTCTGCTTTCAACTCGGCTTCAGCCCAAAATACAGTACAAGAAAATAAAAAAACCCTGCAACATAGATTTTGACATTTCAAAGACATGTCAGTTTAAAATCTGAGATGAGTCATAATGATGCAAACAGCGGCGGGATGGAAGGATAGCAGTTCAGTTGTTGAAACAGATTTGTAGCTGAGGGAATGGAGGGCAAAATCAAGATAGGTTTTTATCTGTGCAGTAGATTGCCTTCTTATTTATGAGCTGTTGCCATGGTACAGTACAAGTCTAACAGATACTTCTCTTACTAGACGTGCTATCAGTGCATACAGCTGCGTGGCCACAGCTGTTTGGCTGCATCTGCACAAATCACGCATTATGTTAAAACTGCCCCCGCAGCAAAGCCATCTCTCCACTGAAAACATACAGTGGTCTTTTTATTCTTGCCTCTTAATTTTCAGCCCAGTCCTTCTTCCAGATCACTTGAACTTGTGAGAATTTTTGTTGGTGGTGTTTCGGCTTCCGCAGCCATACAGCATGTTTACCCACAGGTTTATAAGCAAGCATGGCTGTGAAAGCCATTCAGCTTCAGCTTGGATTCCTGGAGCAGTTCACAGCAAGTTTTAAGGACTGCTATAGATCACTGTCTAATTGTACAACCCAGCATCTTCTCAGTTGTACGTCCTTGGCTGGCTGCGGAACATTTGCATCCAGAATTTGCTGACTTTTATTGGAATTTATTTTTGCCTCGATCCAGGCAATTTTCCCGACGCTCCCAAATCAGAATATTACTGCAACAGCTTTCATGCTTAAAAGTTGGCAAGTTATGTGTGTGTGTGTGTTTGCTTTATTTTTCAATTAAATGCTTTTTACTAGTTTTTCTTAAACGGTACCTTTGGTGATTGTGGCCAAAAAAGCCAAATGAGCTTCACCTGCACACAGCACTTGTTTTCCAATTGGCTCTGGCTCATCCAGGTGTTGCTTTGCCTACTGAAGTCAAACTCAAAGATCTCGTCTTCATGTCCTCTTGCCTTGCTGTTGTGCAAGGCTGCCTTTAATCCGACGCTGTGTAAGAAAAGTTTTTTGGAGTTTGACCCATGCAAAATCGTGTTGATGCACTTCTGAAATTTAGTCGTTAATTTTGAAATGAACCCTGTGATGATGACTCCAACTGTTTTGAATTACAACATTAAACCACTAGAGCAACCCCGTAAATGATTAATTGACTGGCTAAAAGAAATCACAGGGCATGCTCAAGGTTTAATGGGGCAAACTGCATCTGTGAGCCTCTGTATAGATAATTGAACCTACTTTTTTTGTAAGTTGTTTTTGCATGTGATTTAAGAATGCGAAAAATATTAAATAAACTCGCTGAAAATTAACAGAATTGTGTTTTTGGGCCTCTGAAGGTGGCTGTGGTGCATTATCCTCGCTAACTGGCAATCAGACTTCAGCTTTTACATCACTGAAAGATTAATTTGTACAGACCAATTGAGGTGAATCCTTCAGAGATGACTGACCTGTTTATTCAAATGAGAACCTTAAACAAACGATTAAAGTGTAATATGGTACTAAAGCGGAATCGCAGCATCCCACTCAAACTAGCGCTCCGCCACAGCCTGCAGCTGCATCCACGGTAAACAGAGCAAGGTAGCGCATGGGCAGCCAGCAGGGAATTATTCCACATCGCATCACATCCCTGAGCATACATGGCGCCCTCGCACACCGAGATATGAATTTAGTGTGCAAGCGAACGAGGTAGTCGCGATTTCCCCCTCTTTCTTTCTTTCTTCCCCCCTTTTTTTCACTTGCAGCCATCATTCTCTGCGTCGGTGTGCAGTAGCGGAGAAGATTCAGCGCACATTACTACAGTAGGTATCATCATTTTTTCGGGATCAAGACGATGGATGCGGGCTCTATTGCTGCAAACACGGCGTGCGGGCTCGATTTTTTATTCCAAACGCATCCACATCTTCCGTATGTTCCTATGTGTCTTTGAAAGTGAGGAGGAGGAAATGAGAAGAAAGCTTTATTTTGACTCACGCCTGTCGCGATGGTGAGTAAAATGCTTGGCTGAGTCTTTCTCCCCCCCCATTCTTGCATCCTATGTCTGATCTTCTACCTGATTTTAAAGGCAAATCATCTGTAGCTAATTGCAAACGCCAAAAAGAAAATGCGCAAAACAAATGTGACAAATATAGACCGCTTCTCGTTTTCCCCGGGGTGTTTGATTGTACACTGCATTTTTAAATGTTTAATGCACTAGACAGTTCACACACTGCAGGGGACATGGATGTTTTTCTCCCGTGAATGTGACTTGTATTTCAAACCTTGCCCTCATAGCTGCAAATATTATGCCCACGGCGCGCTATTATCTAGGTTCTGTTAGTCAGCACTGGAAAATATTCCAGTGTATCTTTATTATTCCCATCAACTTCAATGCAGTGTCACGCCAAAAGACAACCATTTTAAAGAGTGGCTCCACTACAGCGTCACGTTTTGAAATGACCTTCAGTGCTCGGTGGCTGGAAATTAATTCTCACCTGAGATGGAGTGTCCGTTTTCAGCCAGTGCGGAGCTCCTTCCAGAAATTATGAGTTGCAATCTAAAGACAACAATTTTGGTGTACATGTGCAGCTTTAGCCTTTGCATACCCGTTACAAAACGCTGTTTGGGATTTGAGATTTCTGTGACTGATATTGCCACAGAAAATGTGTGACTGCGTTTTTTTCCTCCCCTTACTGCTCTCCAGCCACTTCAAACGTGGCCTCGCTGCAGACTACTCACCCATGCGGTGCTCTTTCTGTGTCCCAAATACATCACAATGCATTTAACAAAATCACAGCTATGCTTTTTTTAAAATGTGAATGAGCTGCAGGAGTCTCCCCTTAGTCTCATTTTGGTGGTTTAGAGATAGAAAGACATATCTAAATAAATAAATAAAACATTGTGCACCTTCTTTAAATAATCACATTGGAGACACTGGAACTTCAAAGGCCTGACCTGATCACTGCAATACAGGTCAACCTCCATCCTATGGGGTGTTTTATATAATTGACACCAGCACATCATGGCATGCATGGGATGCATCCTGTTAACCACAGAGCTTATCACTGCAGCTCACAGGAGGCATGGTTGAGGGCTGTAAGAGGATTGTCCCTACATGAAAATGTATTGATACCATAAGCCTTTAAAACGAGTGGCACTCATTTGGCTCTTATCTCAATCCATCTCTGACTTGTGTGTCCGCTTGGTGCATATCTGTGTAACAAAGTCAAAGATTTGGATGAAGCATGGATGCATGTTACCCTTTCCTTTGATTTTACTGATTCAGATATGCTTCAGGGATGCATGGAAGAAAAATCGTCTCTCAAGCTTTGATTCTGCACTTGGCATGTCAGGCTTGTGTGGCCTCTGTGCCAAATGCAGGTGTGCTGAGCCCCAGAGAGCTCTTCTATTCTTCTCAGCCTTAAGATGGCAGCATTCTCTTACAACACACAGTGGATACCCAAAATAACAACCTACATCCATGCCTAACTGGAAACTTTTAAAAGATATCTAGGACTATCTAGGACTACCTGACTATTTGTGTGAGAAGTTTTGTTTTGCCTTATACACTTGTTTGTAGAGATTAAGCTCATCTCTGCATGCATGCTGGAAATACAAGCTTTCTCTGTGGCGCTATGAAGTAGCTCAGTGGGCACAGAACATAGGGAAACCCACAAAGTAATGGAGTTTGAAAGAACCACAATTGAATTAAGAACTGTACAATGCCTAGCTCAGTCATGGTGAGTGTGTGGATGCAGGTATTTGACAGTTAGCCAAGCGATGACAGATATGCTTCTTTTTTACAAAAAGCCATTTCTCTGGCACTTGTCATGTTAAAGATTATAGACTGACAAATACTATAGGCCTATTAAAAAGTTTTATATCAACTCTGCTAGTACTGTCAGCTACTCTTTCTACAGTCTTGATACTTCTAGGAGCATTTTTAAGAGAACAGAACAGACCAAGACAGAGGAGGAATAACTAGAAAGCAAACAGTGACATGCTAGGTAGCTTAACTGGACAGTCATATCCCAAACCTATGGTTCCACATGTGAAAAAAGCTATTTTCAAACCGGAAGTGCAACATGGCGAAAAGTCAAGGACATTCAGTGACTATGGGTGAAATTATCACTGCATGAAGTTAGTGGAGCCTGGAGTAAACATTTTTCAAATCCCAGGCAACTGACTGAAGTGACTACTAATGAGAATGCAGGATATCACTAATTAACATATGCTCTGGTGGTAAATATGGCAACCAGAATTTGAAACATCCGCAAGCCACCAGCTGCCAGCTTTAAAGCGACACGCAACAGGAGAATCAGTTCCAGTGTGTACACAGCTTAAGGATGACAAAGTTTCTATACTGGACACAGACAATAGTAAGATATCCAGAACAAAAGAGCATAACAGCCAAAACCCAAGTTACAACCAAAAGCAGCAACAAATAATCCTAACCAAACGCGATATGTTGTCGCAATATTAAGGTCCTGCACCACAACAAGTTACTAACAAAGTGTTCTACAGTTTATAAGACAAAAGCCTTTGGGCACTGATTCAGTGACTCTAATGAAGGAGCCGATTACAAGTCAGGGACAAGCCAAGGAAGCTGGAGAACAGTCCTCCTACTCTCGCAACCAAAACCATCTAACTTAACCCTAGCCTTTAGGCAGTTAAAAGTAGGGGTTAAGTGAGTGGCAACTGGTTAAACCAGTGATCCCATCAAAACCACTGAGGTGTTCCCAAGCATATATCTCTACCCACATTAATGTAACAGGTGACTCAGTGGATTCTGTTAGGTATTTTAGTACCATGGTAGCATTTACTGGATATTGTTTTATAGTGACATTATACAGGAAAACTCTGTCATTCAATAAGGCCCCTTTGTTTTAGTTATTTTTCTCTTTGACCCAAGAATTGATGTGTGAGAATCACAGGCTGGTACAAGGTTGAAATACCACAGAGATCACTCCCTCAGCTACATTAGTTTCTTAATCTTTTAGACGCCTGTTGAAGGCCAAATGGTTTGTTTCAGATTTCACTAATGAAAGAACTCTTTGTTTTGTGCCTTGAAAATATGTCGCTGAGATAATCACAATTGTATCTGAACTAATAAACTACACAAAGGATGCTTCTTCACCCATGGGCAGGAAGACGCTCCCTTATCTTGGTCTGTACTGGTTTAAACTGAGAATCTGCTGACTCATGAATTTGTCCCTCTATATAAACTGTTGTACTTGTGAATAAAGTTGAGTCAATTTGGGAAGACAACCTGAAGCAGTCTCTGTTTTCTTGTTCTCCCAAGCTGCTCCCGAGCTCGTACTAACACGCTGAATGGCATGCTTGAATATTACTTGAGAATATATTTGACTGTGTTAAGGGACATTCTCTGCTGATAGGTGAAGGTACATTCTCTGCTGATAGGTGAAGGGACATTCTCTGCTGATAGGTGAAGGTACATTCTCTGCTGATAGACGTCCACGCCTCGGAGGAAGCCGATCCACGGAGTAGGCCCTGGAAACCGTTTCCTTCAGATTCCCTACACATAACCTAGTGTCTTAAACCTAGTAAGTGAGTTCAAGAACCACCACTGCACTAATGAACTCAAAGTTCATGAGCTAACAAGAATTGGCTAACGAAGCTCTCTCTGTCCAAGCTTAAAACCTGTTTGTATCCCCGAGAAAGATTTTTTTACACTACTGATAAAAAATAAACTTTCATAGGAGCCAACTAACAGGAAAGTCCAAAATAAATTCATATCACTACTAACTAGGAAAAAAGCCACTAAACTAATTTGTTATGCCAAGACTGATTATAGCATACCTGTGGTCAAGTATGGAGAGAGTAGGCAAAATGGGAGGGGTCATCAAAGTGCTTGCTTTTTGTCTCTTTTTCTGGCTTAATAGATTCTCTCTCATTTTCTCTTTTTGCTTGTATAAAGGAGGCATCATTAAGAAGACCAGTAAATTCAAGATCAAACACACTTCATTCAGTCATTAAGGATCGTTATTATTCAGCCTAAGAGCAAAGAAGCATCTTCTAGCTCCATCCTGCAATTTGTTTTCCTATGAGCACCGAATCACAGAGGAGGTTAACCCAAGCTTCGATCCGATGTAGGAGCTGTTCCCTCAAATTCCCACAACCTCTACTCTTGCTTGGATTTCAGCATTCAGTAAAATCCGCCAGGTTTGTATTGCAATATGTTGTAGGAGGCATCACAGTTTTATTTAGCAGTTTTATTTGAGCACCGATGCAAACTATTGCCTTACACACCACACAGTATATATTCATACCACTAAGTATTTAAAGGCACAGATTCTGTTCAGAGTCAATGATCCAGTAGACATTATTACATGTTGGTAGTATGTAAAGCCCGATAAGATGATCAGTCCTGATGTTGTGTCCTGCTGACTGTGTGGTATTTTTCTCTTTGGTTTGCCCTTTTTAGGACAGAGTATGCCATCTGCACCTTTTCACAGAATTCTGCGACCCCTTCTGCTTGGTACTTTTATACTGGGATGCTTTGTGACTCTGTTTTTGATGTATTTTAAACCATCTACAAGCTGGTTATCAGGTCCTGTAGAGTCAACAGTATCCACAGACCGGGTCAAGAACCTCTTCTCCACCAAGAGCGATAAAAACGTGACCACTCTGCTGATCTGGCTCTGGCCCTTCGGACAAACGTACGACCTGAGCGTCTGCAGCTCTCTCTTTAACATTGATGGCTGCTTCATCACAGCAGACAGGAACTTCTACAATAAGTCTGATGGAGTCGTCATCCATCACCGGGACATCAGCACTGACCTGTCCAATCTGCCGCCGCTGCAGCGACCGTCGTTCCAGAAGTGGATATGGATGAACTTTGAGTCGCCATCCCATTCGTCCCAGCTGCCTGGGATAGAGAACCTGTTTAATCTGACTCTCAATTACCGTCAGGATGCTGACATTGAAGTGCCTTATGGGTCCATCGTAGCAGCAGAAGGAGAAGAGGATTTTGTACCACCCAGCAAAAACAAGCTGATTTGCTGGATTGTAAGCAACTGGAACCAGGATCACGTGCGGGTGAAATATTATAATGAACTCTACAAACACATTGAGGTTCATGCATATGGACAGGCCTTTGGGGAGTACATCTCTGACCAAGACTACTTTCCCACCATCGCCAGCTGCAAGTTCTATCTGGCGTTTGAGAACTCCATCCACAAAGATTATATTACTGAGAAACTGTACAACCCACTCTCAGTGGGGACAGTGCCAGTGGTTCTCGGCCCACCCAGGCAGAATTACGAGAACTTTATCCAGGGAGACTCCTTCATTCATGTTGACGACTTCAGCTCGCCCAAGGAATTGGCTGATTACCTGCTGCTCCTGGACAAAAATGAGGAAATGTACCTCAGGTACTTTGAGTGGCGGCGACACTTTAAAGTAAAGAAGGCCTATTTTTGGGCAGAGCACACATGCCTGGCTTGTGATTACTTGCGAAGGCACAAGGAATACAAGGCATTCAATAGCCTTGATAAGTGGTACTGGGGCGGTTAGAGATTTGAAGGGCTGTGTGTGAGGGGCTAAGCAGCCAAGAACACAGGTAAAAAAATTTCTTCAAAAAGGGTTTTCTTTATTTTAACCCTCAAAAAGTTCAAAAAAGACTAAATTCAAAAACATAAGTAGCAAGCCCATAAAAGAGGTCAACTAAATGTAACTCTACAAAAAGTAATTTTCAGAAGCTTAAACAAACAAAGTGGACATAACTTAACTCACAAACCACCCTAATTACAAAGACACAAGAGAGTAGCTTTTATAGTGGTTTGGCCGTTTACACACAATAGGGGGAAAACAAAAACACACTCTAATATTAACTAAGCACAGAATAACCTAAGTAAACCTAAAACATCCCTGTTCCTGATGAGCACATGGTTGGTCCTTCTGAGCAGGCCTATTGTTCTCAGAGTCCTCAGCCATGCCTTTTGCCCCCACAACCAACAATAAAAATTTAGAAGAAGAAGGTCCCTTTTTCCCAGACAGGAAACAGCCACCGCCCAAACCCAGGTAACTCAAAAAAAAACAAAAACATAATTAATATAACATAAAACATTTTTAGAAAAAACCACACAACGCTATTATGTGCGCGCCTCATAATATCAGTGTTAGGTTTAACCAAATGATTAATGAATTATATTAATGAAGAAAACTGCAAAACAAACTAATAAAGTGAACAAATGGACTGATTTACCCATGTGTGGCTGATGCCATCACACTGTGTGATTTTTGTTATGTTGTTGAAGGCAGTACTGTAAAATTTTTGTCCTTCAGTTAACACAAAGGTTCGTTGCTGTTCTGTCGTGAGCAGCTGAATGGTGTCTTTCTATTGGTTCAGAGGCCCAGTGACACATCTAGCTTGTTCTTTTTTTGTCCTTTGAATTTTAGTTAAGCCTTACTTTGCCTTTTGAGTTTTTAATTTATAATTTTTAATTTATTTTTTATGATTTACAAGTGCACAGTTTTTTTTTAAATTATTTCTGACCATGTTTTACTTAACATAACCTCATCTGCTGCTATTTTTTTAAATGATTTTGTCCTATTTTTTAGTGTGATTGCATGATTGTATAAATGTTCTGATAACATTCATGATGCAAGTTTTTGTTTTTTATTATCCCCTGCTCATGAAGTGGCACAAGCTGAAATTGGGGAAAGTGTTAGCTGGAGAAGAGGGGCTGACATAAAAGTGAAAATATTTATGTAATATTTATTCAAATGAGGCATTATATGATAAAAAACAATCTCATCTGTGCTAGTGATGAATTCACCTATGCATTGTTTACTAAACTCCAATGTGAAAATGGTTCAATAGGGTCATGTACATATTGTGTATTTTTGGAATTATGTAGCTGTAATTTTTTTCCCATATTTTTATAAGTTTGCATTTGCACTGCTAATCAAACTGTTATTTTCACATACTTACACTAAGGCAGATGGTCAATGTATTTGTAGATTGGATTTGGCGATCTTTACTTTGGTATCCGACAGAAGATGTCACTGTTATGTGAGAGGGAGGTTGCTAATTAATATTGCTGTGAATTGTTCATTGTCTTTTGTAATTTTGTCACGGTGTTTTGGATTCCATGTGGATGATGATGATAGAACAGCACAGAGCCATTGTACTGCAATATGAAACTCCCACACACACCTCCTCACATTGCATCTTAATTTGGAAAGTCTGTCATTTTTGACTGACTGCATTAAGCAGAAAGAGCACAAAATGAGCACGTAGTACAAGCATTTGCTTAAGCTCTTCACTTAGGTGCTGTACTCTCATCACACATTATAACTTAAGATGTGAAAGATGTGATCTTTATGGCTGCTGCAAGGTTACCCGTATTTTTGTATGAATCATCATACCTCAGTGTTGTCTGGGAGCGAGTGTTTCCATGTGATTCTGATTGTTTTAGCACTGCACCACACCCTTGAGACCACACTACAAAAAGACAGCTCGGTATCTGCATATATCGCAGATATTGCATCACATTCAGATGTTGTTGGAATGGCTAATTCATTGAACAATGCATTGCAACAGCACTCAGCAGCTATTAACAGAGATTTATGTTTTTTACAGAAAGTACTGTACAAATTCTTGTCAACATTTTATGCAAGATGAGCTTCTGTGTCAAAGTATAAAAACAGTGAGGTTAACATTTCTTCAATTTCAAAGGGACCATTGATGTAAAATAGGATGAAACCAATTATTTTTCTTATGGAGTACGGTTCCAAATGCCATAGTGGACTCTGTACATAAACACTGTAGTGAACTGAAGCAGGAATTGGATCAAACCAGCCCAAAACACAGATCATTCCTTTATGTCTAGCAGACAGTGGGAACTCCAGCAGCATTGTATATATTTTTCATGGTAAATCTCTTTATATCATGCAGTTGTTGTCTGGAAGTGACTGTGACTGCGCTGTACATTTGTAAGTAATGCCCGGTGCTTTGAGTGGCTGTGAATTAAGTTAAAGGGAGAGACACTTGAAAAAGAATTAAGAGCATCTGAAATGATGCTTTTAACGGTTTTGAGGTGGACATTTTCATCAAGGCAGGCACTTTTACATTTGAGGAGTGATTTTTTTTTCTTCTTTGTTTATATTTGGTGGCAATCCTGTTGGCATGACCTAATTGAAAAAGTTGTGCCAAAATGCAGCAGAAATACAGCACTTTTATTCATTTCGAGTAGTGTGACTCACTGTGCCAGTTGTCGTCTTAGATGAAGCTATTGTGAGTTTATAAACTGTCCTCCAAGACCTTGGCACGTCCCACAGGATAACTATGAAGCTGCCAGTCATGGTTTCATATTGTACAGTCCAATCTCATGTATGAAAACAAAGCTTTCTTGTCCAATGTGGTTGGTGACTTTAAGAAAAAAAGTTTTTTTCATTTTATCTTTTTGGGCCGCATAAGTCTTCTTTATCTTCTCTCTCTTTTTTTTGCACAAAAACAAAGAAAAGGAGCTGCGGCTTCTCTGTTGTCCAGTTTGAATCTGTGAGAGGTTCACTGATGCACCCAGAAGTGATTCTCTGGATGCTATATGACTGGGTATCCCAAAAAAATTTGATTTTAATGCCAGTTCACTGAAATAATCTGTTAGTCAATCAATACTTTTTTTTTGCCAAATCATTGTATTTTGCCAAATGTTGTGTTTTACTGTATATGTCTGATAGTGTCAAAATGAAAATAAAGATATGGACAAATGAGCAAACATTTGTAAAGTGTACTGTAGTATTTCTTTATTTTTGTTTTTTAAAGAGATGCCTGATGTGTATTACATGACATAGGCTGGATTATGCTGAAACTGTCTGGAAAAAACATGTATGATGCTTGCTTTTAAACATTTTAAACAAGTTTATATATAAGTGGATTTATATATAAACTTGGCTAGCCAACATAGCTTAGCATAATGGCTGAAAACAGGACAACTCTGAGCTGAGCTGTACAAAAAGCAGAACAGCCATTTTAAAATGGCTGTTTAATAACCATACATTGGTTTCCCCTGTAACTATGCTATGCTATGCTAAGCTAAGCTAAGCTAAGCTAAGCCAAGCTAAGCTAAGCTAAGCCAAGCTAAGCTAAGCTAAGCCAAGCTAATGTAAGCTAAACAGCTGCTGACTGTAGGTTCATTTTTTTGGACAGAAATCACATTGGTATCAGTTGCATAATTCTTTAATTGCAGGATAGCAAAAAAAAATATTTCCTATTACAGTAAAGGGGCAATAAAGGGGTTCCTTTAGATCAACTTCAATGCAGTGTCAAAGGCAACCATTTTAATGAGTGGCTCTACTATAGCATCACATTTTGAAATGACCTTCAGTAGCTGGAAAGTAATTCTTACCAGAGATGGAGTGAAATGGAAGACTATTCATGCATCGCTCTTTCTGTGTCCAAAAAGTCATCACAATGCATTCAATATTTTAATTCTAAAATGTTAATGAGCTACATGTAGTCACAGTTTGGTGGTTTAGAGATAAAAAGGCAGATCAAAATAAAATGCAAAAAAAGTGCTCCCTCTTATGATAATCACAGTGGAGCCACACATTATAACTTAACAGGCTTGATCTGATCACTGCAGCTAAACCTCCCACATATACATATATTATTTTGTAATCTACTAAAAGTTCCAGTTTTAGCCAAATAATGAAACAGCCAAAATATCAAAAAGGGTCACATTAAACCTTGTAGATTGAAAGACACAGTAGACTTATTAAAAAGTTTTTATCTTACCTCTACTAGTACTGTCAGTTATCCTTTCTGCACACTTGATATTTCTAGGAGCGTATGTCCACACTGGAAGCAATTTACTGCAATGTGGCAACCAGAACCCACAGAAAGTCAAGGATATTCAGTGACTATGAGTGAAATGATCACTGTGTGGGATCCGAGATAAATTTTTTTGACTACCAGTGAGAACACAGGATATCTCTGATTGACATACAAATACAGTTACTTAAAATGGTGAGCTGATCTTGACAACACCATGGTGGATCCTTGGCGGATCCTCGGCTGGTTCTTGACCAATGAGATCCCCTGCCTGTGATATGTATAAAGCCACCACAAGTGTTAATGCCCCTAAACAGCACTGAGGAAAACCAGTGCTAATATCTTATGTATACACCAGTAGAGGTAGTGACAATGGAAGCTCATTCATTTACATCTTTCTACACTGCTTATTAATCCATTCTATGTTAAAGGGTTCTATAATTCAAAACACTGATATAGGCTAATTGGCAGCATACAATTTAGAGGTTGTACACACTGAACAAGCGACATACAGCAGAAGACAAAAAGTGATGTCTAACGAGTTTTTGGAAAGAAAAGCATCTGGACTTCTTTAAGTTGCTTGAAGATGTTTCACCTCTCATCCGAAAAGCTTCTTCAGTTCTAAGGTCAAATGGTGGACAGTCCCAGATGTAAGTCCTAGGGGAGTGTCCCCCAAGTCAGTCAAGAACCCCCTGTTGATCCTCTACGTTAATCAGACGAGCCCAGGTGTGAAAACAGGTGTAGGCCACAATCAGCCTATGGCTGTATCCCAATTCAGGGTCTGCAGCCTTAAAGTACTCATTTCAAGGCCGATTATGTCACAGCGGCGCGCCGAAGGCTGTCCCAATTCAAAGCCTGCTCGAAATGCGGCCCTGAAATGTGTCCTACATTTCCCTGAATTTTAAGGCTGTGGCAGTGTAGACTTCGTGGCCCAACATATCCCAGAATGCATAGCGCGGCGGTGGGTGTGGACAATTTTGCTGAAAAAAAACGGCGGATGAGGGGCGGCCGAAGAGTAAACTTTAAGTAAGTACTGAATATTATGTCACTTATTTATGTGCAAATGTTTAATAACGAAGAACATTAAACATTACTGTTGGCCACATGTCGGCAAAGTTATGTGACATTAGTGACGTTTGTACTAACTTGATTTTAAAGCCTTTACTTTAAAATATACGCCGTTCAATAGCTGAGCTTAATGTTACAGAGAATGATCAAAGCTCATGTAGAAACAAACAAACAAATGAACCAAAGATTTTCTCCTTCATTTCTGTCAAACAAAGCTGTATGACACGTTATCAGCTGTTAGTATCATGGTTGCCCTTGAGGATCGTTGAGGCTGCGTACTTTAAGGCTGCAGACCCTGAATTGGGATACAGCCAAGGTTTCGGGTGAACCCGCAGTGAAACCTAGCCCCACCCTATCATGTGATTTCCTGAGGTCAAATGGCCCAGGATGTGAGTGGGTGTTAAGGGGCCTGGGAAAGGATCTCAAAACTGGCCTTAATGCCCACTATTTAACTTCACTGTCACATGTTTCTATACAAAAAGTGTAGTCAAAATTTAAACTTGAATTGTCAGTGACAGGTGTATTTTAGATGTGACGCAAGGGCAAGTGAGCAAAAGAGCACTCAAACTGCGCACCAATAATGTATGTGTTTGTATTCTGTTCTAAATAAATATAAAAGAAATATGTGGGGGGTCTGTTCTAAAATTTTAATAAGATTTCAATTCATACAGCGTCAAAACACAACCCCAAGGTGCCTCAAGGGGCTTTTTATTGTGACGTAAAATATTACAGAGAAAACAAATAAACCGTTCCTCTGAAAATGATCAGTTAGCTGTTTAATAACTATTCTTTCAGGAATGTTAGAGAAAAGGGAAGTTTAAAGAGCAGTCCATGCAGGTGGGTTGTGATGGCTTTTTAAGTAATGGTTTAATTACTGGCACCTTAATGGATGTAGCCTATTATTAGAGATAGGTGACATTTGGGATTAAAGCATTTGTAGTTATTGAAGTTAACTCAGAAGAATTAATCAGAGTGCAAGAGTCCAAAAAATATTAATAGTGTTTAAAGCAGCTGTACGTAATGATGAGTCTGTGAGATGGTTACTAGTAATTTTTCTCTAATGGTTGAATTTTTATTTGTGAATAAATTCATAGAGCTCTGAATTTTTGTCAGTGCTGAAAAGAGAACTAGAGGGTTTTTTTTTCCTTTTTTTAAAAAAAAGGGGCAAAAAGCTCTTTTCCAGGTCTTCTAAACTACTGACATGCCAATTTGACTCCAGCTTAGCTACTTTAAGGTGAACCTTTGACAGTTAAACCAGGGAGTACAGTGACTTTCGAGAGTTTAGGTAGCTGCTCTGCACTGTGTTGGCACATGGCATTGAAGAAGATAAAAGTGGAGGAATTATATCCTTCAACTTAGTCACAGCACTTTCAGAACGACATCTACTAATGAAATTTATTTCTCACCTTAGGGAAATCTATTATTGTAAAATTTAGATGTTAATAAAAATGATCAGATAAAGAGAAGCCAATTCATCTAATAACAGATTAAATGCAGAGTTGAGGCTGTCATTTTCAGCATCTAAATGGATATTAAAATTACACACTATAATTATTTTATCAGAACTAAGCACTAAATCAAATAAAACCTCTAAAGTCTAAAAATAAATCTGGGGTGAGGTGAGGCATTATAGTAGAGAGAACCAGAGCTTTGCACTTGCAACTAAAGGCAATCCTCTCATGTATGGAATCAGAACGATTAAAAGTCCTAGGAGCATCAGTCACAGTCAACATGCTTGCTTTAGAGATTCGATGCAGTTGTCTGCCACTAATATTAGTGTATCACCTCAGTGTGATACATTTTAATACTTATATGCTCTAAAAGGTATACTCCAAACACAACAACATATATTTGCTGCACAAAAAGTGCCCAATCTTTCAGTCACTAAATTAATACTGCAGTAGTTATGGATATATAAATGTGTCTATATATGTATGTACTGTATGTATTATATAAATAGCTTTATAAGTGCAAAAACAGCACATTCTGACAGTTTAGACAGTTAACACATTGCATTTTAAAATGCAACAACTGGCTGAGGCCCTTCCCTGCTTTCCTAAGATTGACGATAAATAAATTAATAAATAAACACATTACTCATACAATTCATAAAAAGTATCACAAACAGTAGTTGTCTTGACACTAATTCTGACAGTTCAGAAATCATAAAAAGATCAGAAAAATCATGTATAATTAATCCAGTGGGGAAAAGTTAAAGTGTGATTGCAATTATTTTGAGTTTGAATCAACCATCAGCTATATTATTGAGGAATTATCTGCAGACACTATGCACTAAAGCACATTGTTTCCACATTTCTCTTATTTCATAAACAAAGTCTTGTTTAGCATTAACACATGAAATGAATGAATGAAAAGTAGTGATGTGCGATACCACTGATTTCCTTTCCGATTCGATACCAAATAAAATTCAGGGTGGTATCGACGATACTGATCCGATACCGATACTCTGTACAAAAACTTTTATTTATGGTATCTCAAATTATAGCATCATAATGATTACAGGACATCAGATTACTTGTTCTTATCACTTAATAATGCAGAGTTCATCATGTAGAAATAAAAAACCTGAAGTTGTGCTATTTGAACTGCTTGCCTGCTTGCAGCACTAAAGGACTCCGTGAGAGACGTCTGTCTCGCCCTAGCAGCACCTGTCCCTCTCCTCCTCTTCAGTTCGCCTCAACATACGCTCGTCATATTCTGTGATATGGTTTCCTCTGAGGTGTTTGACAAGGTCAGTGGTGTTGCGGCAACACCTCACTTTTTCGCCACATGTATCGCAAACCACATCTCAGCTGTGGAGGTAAAA